TCGGTCCCAGGAGGGCCCCACTCACTGCACCTTTCTTGCGTGTGTCTGCCCTGATCCCCAGGAGGACACGGTGCTCGCTCTGCGCAGTGAGCTGCAGCCTCCGTAGCAGGTCTTGGACCTCGGCGTCCCTGTTGGGACAGATGACGAAGAAGGCGTCTCCAGGTTGGTAAGAAAAGGCCGATTTCTAGGGAAGAGCCCAAAGGGAAGCAGATGACCAGAGTCGGCCATGAGGAAGCACTGGGACCCAATCGCACGTAATCCCAGGAGCCCCTCGGCTGGCCCATGGCACCAGCGCCCTGCAGGACGCTTCCAGGGTGAGGCCAGGCACCCTCCCTGAGCCATGCTCCTGCCACCCAGCAAGTGTCTTCCTACACATAGGGCACCAGGAGTGACCCCAACACCTCACTGTACTCCTGCCCCTTGGAGATGGGGCCTTGTGCTAATTCTTCTCAGCAGGAACCTGTGTCTCACAGCACTTGGGATTGAACGGGCTGCCTGTCACATATGGCCACTGGCTCCAGACACAACACCCAGGGGGAGCCATGACCACGACAGAGACTCCTCGCCAAAGAAGGGAGGCTTGGCCACCCCGCCTGCCCCTCGGTGAGCAGGCATCTGTGGTACAAGGATTGGACCGTGTAGGCAATTGATGTGTTGAAGAGCCAGGACCCAGGACATCCACTCTCAGCTCCCTTTCCACCTGCCCAGTCCTTCTTCCTGTCCTCTGGGGCGCAGGGAGTGAGGTGGGCTGACAGGACTGGCGCGTGACTCACCCCAGCCATGACCTACCGAGACGTCCAGCTCCAGCAGCAGCGCAGTCTTCACGGCGTCGTTGGAGGTGAGCTGAACCGCCCTCGTGATTGGAACGTGAACTGCCCCGTCCACAGACGTCACAGGGCTTTCCTCCTTAACAAGGACGAGTGAGGTGTCACCAATGCAAGGACTCAAAGGCAGTGGTGTGGACACATCCGTACAAGTCACAACACAATGAAGCAAGGCACAAAACCCAACCCCGTGTGGCCTGCTTTAGAAACGACGGAAGCCTCCGGGAAAGGCCGGCCACCATGGCCAGAGGCAGGCACACCGCTCTGCACCGCAGAGGGCCGAGAGGCACGCCTGTCCAGCCGGTGGCCAGACGCGACACAGCAGGTCTGTGGGCCCCAGTCCTGGTCACAGTCACTCAACTACAAGATGCACAGTGCCAAAGCAGACGTCGACAGCATGCAGCCACACACACACACAATGCCGTCGGGACCATCTGTACAGGGAGCAGAAAGAGGAGTGACCATGTGGGAATGATTCGTCCAAGGGACCCAGGGACCACACAAGCGTCAGTCTCCATAGCCCTGAGATAAGAACTAGAAGGTGCCCGACTTCCACCATCAGGGTCCTGGACAGGGGAAATGCCCAACAGAACGCAACCTTCTAAGAGAGAGCAGGCTTACTGGTCGGAACGTGTCAGGGGCCACCTCTGGCTGAGTGCTGCAGTCTGAAGTCTATTGTGACAAACACAAAGCTAACGCCTGACAGACCACACCTGCTTACCTGTCCAGGTGACTCCTCCAGACACACCTGCAAATACTCGGGGGGTGGGGCCGGGATGGTGAGCGTGGCCAGTGCAAGTGGAGGCCCCGAGCGGGTGAGGGAGGGCTCGGGCATGCTGTCTGGGGCGCCGGTCTGACCGCCATCCACGGCATCTGGCTCTAAAGCCTGAGCACCACTTCCTGCAGACTCATCCAGACTCAGGCGCTGGGTCTGGGCCTCAATGGAGACAGGTGCTGGCATCACAGGGGAGGTCAAGGGGGTGCTGGGATTCCCCTCGGGGGCTTCACTCCCGTCTGCCTTCCCGCGGCTGGATGCAAAGTGCTTCGTGAGGGCGGCCCAGAGTCCTTCGATCCATGGCTCCACCACAAGCTCCAGACTGGACGGCACCGAGAGGACAGACACGGGGATCAGTCACCTCCGTCCCCATCTCGGAGTGACTGCCGTATCACACACACCAGTCACACCTCTCGGTGTGAGTGTTATAACAATCTAGGTGTGCTGTTGTAAGAGTAACACAGCGAGGATCAGCCACGTACATTTTAAGAATCACACTGGGAGGGGCATGTAGGTGACTCCTTTCTATTATGTCTTCATATTACAGCTGTCACACTGAGATGGAGACCTTGATTGCTTCCAGTTGTGTGTGACTTTTACAACAACCACACTGAGAGGGGGATGTAGGTGACTGATCTCGGCTGTGTGGGTTCTAACAGTCACACTGAGAGGGGGGCCTAAGTGACTAATCCCGGGGAAGTGGAGGGCTTGGATGGAGAGTGACTGGGGACAGGGGCTGGCACTGGAGCAGCCACACAAACAGACTCACCGTGGACATCAGTGCTACACCAAAGCTCAGCCTGGGGGCCCAATGGCCGAGGGTCATCAAACACAACGTCAAGCACATAAGGTTCTTAAGTCACATAGGATGTTGTACAACAACGGCGCTTTAAGGGTCACATAGGATGGTGTCAACATAAGAGTCAGAGGCTATGGGGCACATCACAGACATTTAAGGGTCTCGTAGGCTGTCATACACCTAACGGTCATAGAATGGTCATATAGGGATCACGTAGCATGTTGCCAGCCTAAGAAGCAGAAAGGATGCCACAGGGGTTTCAGGTGTAAGGGCTGGACAGGAGTTGTGATGCACGTCATGTACACAAGGGTAACACAAGTGCTTTGTTCCCCGTTGAGTCTCACTGGGGTCTAAAGGGCTGGCACTTACCCCACACAGTCATCTGCATGCCCAGTCTCGTAGAAATGCTGGGCTCCAAGTTCTTGCAGTCGTTTATCTATGATTTTCCCCCCATTACAGAAGTAGGTGTATTCGGAGTCTCCCAGACCTAAACAACCAAATATGACACGGCACATTAGCCTTCAGATACAAGGACTCAACTCCAAAACACCCACTGCCATCCAGTCAATGGTGACCCATAGGGACCCTGCAGGACAGAGGAGAGCTGCCCTTGTGGGTCTTCCATGACAGAAGTCAGTGCATTCTGAGTTTCCCATGGCACACGAGCCTTCAGATACAATGTGGCAGTGAACAGTTAAAAGAGTTCTCTGCTGTTACTAAAGGAGAAATGATACAGTTTCGTAATTTAACAATCTCGCTTGGTTAAATACTAGAGACAATATTAAATACTAAAGACAAGTCCCTCTGTTTTATAATATAAAGGTATCCAATGTGTACAAACTAAACAGTTTTGCCCACAACGGAGGTAAGTATTCCCACTCCCAGCAGCTGTGTGTGGAAACACAGGAATTAAGGAATCACACGCAGGTGTGGGGTGGCTTAAGGCTCAATGGCCCTGCACACGGTTCCAGACTGTCAATCTCCAGGGGGCGGCAGCCTTCTCTGCCTCCCTCAGAGTGGATGGTGGGCTTGAACCTCAGCCCTCCAGACTAGCAGCCAAATGCCCAATCAACTGCACCCCCAAGGTTCCTTTTTGCAGCTCCCGTCTGTGGGCCCCACCCCACCACGGCTTGATGCTGGTCCATGTCTTTGTTGCTTCGGAGACACCATGGCAAGGGCCGTTACAATCCTCTGGGATTCTGACACTAAAATCATACTCTGTGGGGCTCGATGAGGCAAGGCCTGCCTGGACCTAAGTTTATTCGTCACTGGCAGGCTGCTAACCACAAGGTGAGGGGTTCAAGCCACTCCACAGGAGCTAGCTACAAACATCTTACAAACCCTGCACTGGTTCTCCATGGGCAGACCTAACCCCATGACAGTGGGTAGGGCGTAACTACTAATGTCTAAAGACTTACATAAGGGGCTTGGTTTCAAAGAGCCTATGGACAACGGGGATTGAGGAGAGTTTGTGGAGTTTTCCCAAGAACTCTGGAAGGCCCTCGGTGTCTAACTAAAAGACAAACCCGAGCCCTGAAGAGTAGACAGTTTGCAGTGAGGCAGCAATGCAGGCCCCTTCCTTACCCAGCAGTCCGTACCACAAGTGAGCCAGGAAGTCGATGGGAAGCGTCCTGTCTTGGATCTTCTTCACAAAGGGGCGGGCTGTGTCAGGTGGGTCCCCAGTGCCCGTGGTGGAGACCACCATCACCAGGGGAGCCGTCTCGGTTTTCAGGTCGTACTGCAAACATGAGAACACGGGTGTCAGGAGACTCAGAGCATGTGGGCAAGGTGGGCTGGCCTACGCTGCACAATGGCTCAGGCACAGCAGTGATGATGGTCACCAGGCAGGGCAGCCGGGAACCGCCCCCAGGCTACCTGGACAGCTATGCTGACCTTGTGGTGAGCAAACCAACACATCACTGGGCCTGCCCCAGGCCCTCCGTGTGTGTGCCTACCCTGTCCCCCAGGGTGCTTCCTGTGTGCAAGTCCCTGCCCTTGGTGTCTCCCTGGCCCTACTGGTGTGTGTGTGTGTGTGTGGGTGCCCTGTGCCCCAGGCCACTTGTGTGTGCCTGTGCCTGGCCATGAGCATAAGGAAGCAGAGGAGACTCCCTGGACTGCTGGCAGCCTGCTCCTCTGACCTGGACTAGAGCAGGGGCAATGACGACTGTGGAGGTGGCGTTCCCGTCACCTTGGCTCTGAGCCTATAGTCGGAGCCAGGCACAGGCCACAGCCAGCCAGGCACAGTCCTAGCTGCTGGTCTGGCCAGTCCCACTTGCTGGCCACACATGCAGGTTTTCCATCAACGTCTTCAGGACCAGCCACAAGCTCAGGCTCTGCCCCAAGCTCCCCCACTGCCAACAGACATGGGGTCCCCAGCCTCCTCAGGACACTGGCCTTAGCTCAGGGGTCCCAGCATCCCTAACTCCTCCTTTGGGTTCAATAATTCCCTGGGATGCCTCACAGAGAGTGTTTGACTCTGTTTCATTGCAAGAAACACCGTAAAATAAATATGCCACTTCAGAAGCGGCCCTTACACTAGCAGTTCTCAACCTGTGGGTCTCGCCCCCTTTGGGGGTGGAGGAACCCTTTCACAGGGGTAGCCCGATTCATCACAGTAGCAAAATTACAGTTATGAAGTAGCAACGAAATAGTTTTACGGTTAGGGAGGTCACAACCACATGAGGAACTGTATTAAAGGGTCGTAGCATTAGGAAGGTTGAGAATCACTACACAGACATGCCATCACTCAGAAAGGATCCCCAACGCAGGCGGCTGTGGCACCACCTCAGAGAGCAGGGCTCTGGTGGGCACAGCCGAGGCCGAGCTCCAGGGCTCGCTGGGCACCAAGCACAGCTGTGCACACGCACACCTGCCTACCCCCCTTGCGATGAGACCACGTGGCTGACTTCCATGCAGGCGAGGAATCTGAGCGACCGACGGCAGGGGCTCCGGGTGGTGGAATGCGCCCCCCGATTCTAACTCCCATTCCCCGCCCCACCTCCCCTTCTGCCCGCAGCTCCGGCAGAGCCCCGGCCCCGGGAGTGCCCACCTTGTCCAACTCGCTCATGCAGTGAAGGTCTGCGGAGAAGCCGCGCGCGGCCGCCTGCGCCCCGATCTCCTCGGCGATGGCTTTCGCCTGCCCTTGCTGCGTGGCGTACAGGAGCAGGAACCTGCGCGACCCCCCGCGGCACATGGCGCCCCTGGGAAGGTGCAAAGCAAACACCGAAGTGGGACGCGATTCGCGGAAGCGTGGAGTGGTGGTGGCCAGCAGTACGGCTCGCTCAGTGCTCTCACGTGGTACTGGCCACGCAGACAACTCGCCAGCTCAGCAGTTCAAACCCCCCAGCTGTCGGAGGGAGAAAGCGAGGCAGGTGGTAGAGTGGAAGGCCTCACGTACGAGGTGGGTGGGCGGGGACTGGGCAGGAACGCGTCAGGGAAGCCCCACCCGCACCCCACACAAGAACCTCCTCACCTGCCCTCCGAGGGACTGCCCTCTCACCAGCCCACGAAACTCACTTGCGGACCACAGCAGTAAGCACACGGAGAGTGCGCGGGCGGCGGAGGCGCGCACGCTTGGTGCTCAACCAATAGGAAGCTCGGCCGGGACCGGATGGTAACCTGAGCCAATCACAGTGCTCGGAGGGTAGGACGTTGCCTGGACGACTTCCTGTGGCGCATGCCCAGTTGCTCGCGGCGGCAGCCGCATTCAGGCGCCCCTACAAGGCGAATCCATTTCTCGTCCGAGTCGCAAAGGTCCGGAAAGCCGTGCAGGTATCGCGGGGCCCACTGCGGGGCCGCCGGGTCGCGGGGATCGTGAGCTTGGAGGTGCGGGGTCCGCTTGGTTCCAGGGATTCGTGGGCCCGGGGTGCGGGTCCTCGCGATCCCAGAGGCAGTGGGTTTGAGGTCCTCCCGACCCCAGAGAGGCACGGATTTGGAACGCTGCTTTAGGGTCGGGGTGCACCGGTTACCAGGGAAACATGGTCTCGGGGGCTCTGAGAGAAAATATGTGGGTAGGCCCGTTTCCAGGGGATGGTGGGTTGGGGTGTGGGAGAGCTCACATCCTGACTACCCCTTTGCAAAAGACTGGATGGCAGTAACAGCCCCACAGGGATTAACCACAGATGGATTCTTCTGATTACTAAGGATGCGCGTAGATAATCTTGCCCTCAGGCGTAGAGGTGATCCTTGCCTCTCCTCCGGCCCAGGAAGGGCCGTCCCTCTTTGCGGGTGTGATTCGTAGAGACCCTGCAGGGCAAGGCAGGGCAGAGTATACCTGCCTGTAGGAGCTGTAACTATCAGAGCATATAGCCTCAGCTTTCTCCTAGCTGAGGCTGGTGGGCTCAGTTCCAGCCCAGTGCCCCACGCCCAGGCCTGCCATCTCCAAGCCAATACCCACACCCTCAGGGCAACACCTGGGGTCGTGTCCACCTGCCCTGGTGTGACCTTGCAGGGTTCCTTCTTGAGTGCATTTGCTTTCGATGAGATGCAGTCCTCCCTCCCCCTGACCTTTAGGGCTGCCATCAGGAGGGAGTCCCAGTGGTGCAGCAGGTTCTCACAGACAGGATGAAGGGGCAAACCCCCAGCCTCCGAGACAGCCCCGGTGATGGGGGATTTGTGAGCTCAGTGGGGCCGGGTCGCCCTCAGGCAGTGACCGGGTTGGGATCAGCTGACCAGCCACTGGCTGGATCTCCTGCTCTGGGCCCCAGGGGTGCCTCTGTCATCCTGCTGGAGTGCCCACCAAACAGGTGACCCTCTGTGCATCCCTCCTCGCTTATGAAGAGACACATTGAGGGTGGATGCTCCTGGCCCACCATGTGTGGGATCCACCTGGATGCCCAGGTACCCTGGGTGTCACCTCACACCCTGCTCTGTGGGCATTCTCTGCTGACCGCAGGCCTTTCTGCAGCACCACGGGGGAGCGGGTGCAGGCCACCAAGCCAAAGCCAGGCACCCCCTGAGTCTGACTCCTAGGCACCCTGGGTGGGGTTTCAGAGTCTGTAAGTCTCGGAGCTCAGGCCTTGACTTTCCCTGTGGGTTTGAGTTCCAGCTTTGTGGGTGGTCAACAGTCTGGTGCCTGTACTTTGGCCCAGTGTGTGCCACTTGTCCAGGGGAGTGGCAGCTATTACAGTAGACACTGGAGCGTCTCGGGGCTCATGGGTATATGAAAGCCCCCTTGTCTGACCTCTGAGGGGGCTTTTCATAGCCACCTTTCATTCTGGCTTGCAGCCTCAGGCATGCACGCAACTACATTGGGCTGCTGACCCAGGGTCCTCCCACTGGCTGCTCTGTGGGAGAAAGACAAGACCTGTATTCTCTGGTAGAGTTAGGTCGGCCCTATCCTTTAGCGTTGATGGCAGGGAGGGAGGGCTTCAGTGTCGGGATCCTGTTCTCATTGTGTGTTTGACTCGATTTCTTGGCTTTACCCACTGCAGCTCCAGATGGGGTGGCTGGCGACATGGCTCTAGTTGCCCTGCGGAGAGGCCTGAGTCGGGGGTGTCTCGCTGCTGTGACGAGCCGGTCATCGAGTGCTGCCCCTGAGGCTGCCAAGAGACGACGTCTGTGCTGGAGGGGCTCCTCCAGTGCCCGGGCCTTCCATGCTGAGCGGGGAAACACACCTTGGCCTGCCAGCCAGCCAGTGGCATCTTCCCCGGCGCAGGACCCCAATGGGCCTGCAGCCACTGCTGGGCATGCAGAGCAGCAGAAGGGCCCCAGGACCTTGGGAGTGGAGCTGAGCCCTGAGCTGGAGTTGCCACCCTGTGCCCCAGGGGCTCTGCAGCACATCTGGGAGGACCCTGCCCTGGGGGCCCCGTTTGGCCAGGAGGCTCCCTGCCTGACCAACTCCGAGCTGCTGAGGGCGCTGCAAGCCCAGGCTCGGCTCGGGGCAGACGCTCCAAGTGGCGTGTTGGGGGCCTTGGTGGCCGAGTGTCAACGCCGGCTCCAGCAGGGGGCCCTGGCAGCCCCCGAGCTGTGTGTGCTGGGGGAGAGCCTGGCTGAGCTGCGGGGCCCTGGGCACGCCCTGCTCCAGCAGATTGGGAGGCAGCTGCAGGGCGCAAAGCTGGCCGAGCTCAGCCCGGAGAACGTGGTGGCCGTCTATGGGCTCCTGCAGACGTGTCCTCATCTCGTGGACCAGCACCCGGCACTGCTGGGCCGGCTGAACGCCATCGCACTGACCGTTGTCCCCTGCCTGGGCCCAAAGGCCCTCAGCCAGCTGCTCGGGGCCCTGGTGGCCCTGGACCAGGCGCAGGCGCTGCCTCTGGTGATCAGGCTGGGCCGGCACGCCGTCGGGCACCTCCGGCGCTTCACTGGCCAGCAGCTGGGCCTCGTCTTGGAGGCCTTCATCCACTTCGGCCACCATGACCGGTTTTTCACGCAGGCCCTGGAGCAGCATGTGGCCGCGCGTCCGCCGACGCTGAGCCCCGAGGTGCTCTGCAGAGTCACCGAGTACTGTGGCCGGAAGCGCATCCTGTCTGAGCCCATCCTGGCCGCCGCCGCTGAGAGCTTTGTGTGCCAAGCGGACAGGCTCTCTTCTTACCAGGTGGCCGCCCTGCTGGCACCCTTGGGCCAGCTCAACTACTCCCCCCCCAATGCCCCCACCTTGTTCAGGAAGCTGGAGAGCACCCTTCAGGAGCGCTTCTGTGACTTCCCGCCCCGGACGCTGCTGGGCCTCCTCCACTCCTGCTCGCTGGCCGGCCGCCACCCAGTCAACTTCATGGCCAGGATATTCAGCCCCTATTTCCTCCAGCAGCTGCAGGGTGAGGGGACGGTGGGCGGAAACATGTCTCACGGGGGCCCAGCCTGGCCTGTCTCTGCTGAGGTGGGTGGAATAGCCTGGAGCAGGTGCTGCTGTGAGCCTCAGGGCCCAAGACGGGGAGGACACACTCGGACCCCCAATTCCCCCCTGAGGCCCTGAGACGGCAGCGCCACCAACCCAGCTCTCTGAACTCAGACCACCCCCCACTGCCCTCCACTCGGCCTCCCACTCATACCATGCACGGGGTGGGTCTTTCTCCCCAGAGTGACCTGTGGGCTTAGACAGCCTTGTGGTGAGCAGTGTGACCCAAAGAAGGAGCCCAGGTGACGTGCTGGGTGAAGCACTGGACTAGCTTAACTACCCACGCTGTCACACTGGTGGTTCAGGCTGTATGCGCCCACAGGGATGGGCATATCTGCACCATCTGTAAGGGGGCTGCACACCTTGCCCCCGGAACCTCCCAGTAGTCAGGCGTTTTCCAAAATCCGCTGGCCGGGTTCCCTGCCGCTGGCTCTGGTTCCAGAGGGCAAGCCGAGGTCCCAGTGGAGCCGCCCGGGAAGTGAAAGCTGCCACGTTATGGCCACAGTGGGCGAATGGATGCTGCCCTGGCCCCGGCCCCTGTGACTGGAGTTCTTGTTTCAGGAACAGAATCCCGCTTGGACAGGCTGAGCCTGGCACAGCTAACCCAGCTCTTCCTCAGTGCTGTCCTGGAGTGTCCCTTCTACAAGGTAAGGGGGTGTCTCCCGGGCCCCTGGAGTCTGACTCAAACCCCCGCCTGAGCTAGCTCAACACTGTTGGCCACCTGAGTAGCACTGTTCCATGGGGGTCCTGCTGGGGGGGCTCCTGTCCCAAGCAGCCACCTGTCCTTAACCCCAAGGGTTCAGTCAGCTGCCGAGCAGGTGCCTGCTGCACCAGCAGGACGCCTTCTCCCTGAGAACGAGGTTCCTGCGCAGTGCGGGGTCATCAAAGGGTCACCAGGGCTGTGTCAACCTAGCCTCACTCAAAGACACTCGACCTGACCCATTCGGCTCCTGGAGGCTGTTGGTTACGTTTTTTTTTGCTCATGGTGACCACACGGTGGGACGGCACACCGCCTGGCCCTGCCCCATCCTTGCAGGCATTAAGTTCCAGCCCAGTGCTGTAGCCACTGTGTCAGTCCATCGTGTGAGGGCCCTCTCCGCCACCGAGCAAGATGTTCTTCTCCAGGGACTGGTCTCTCCAGACAGCATGCTCAGAGTACTGAGACTAAGTCTTGCCAGCTTCCCTCCCGAGGCCACTCTGTCCTTCCTCCTCGTGCACCCTCACTCTCCCTTCAGGCGGCTCCCACGCCTCTCCACCTCTGCTTCCAAGACCAGCAGCATTCTAGCGATAGAAGAGCGTGAACGTCTGCCCTGAGCAAGCCCTGGTTCACCCAAGTGCATCTCTAGTCCACTCTGGACAGGCAGCTCCTTCCTATCTGCCGGGACTGACCTTCCCGTCCCCAGAACCTACTGTTTGGTTTGGTTTTGAGTGGGGGAAGGCCACCGAGAAAGACCTCAATGAGATGCACTGACGTGACTCCAGGATGGGTGGGGGCTGGGCCGGGCTGGGCGTGTTGCCCTCTTCACACAAGTCACCGTGAGTGCCACGCTCGGCGGCACCAAATGACAGCACTGAATAAGGTAAAGGACCGGGCACCTCACGGTTGCAGCAGTTGCTGATGGAGAGCAAGGATTGCCGCCTTCCGAGTGGATCACGCCTCCACGGAAGAAGACCAACATCCTCACCGCTGGACCAGTAGGGGAGGTCATCAGTGGAGAAGAGAGTGCAGTTGTCATTGACCGGGCACCTCACGGTTGCAGCAATTGCTGGTGGAGATCAAGGATTGCCGCCTTTCGAGTGGATCACGCCTCCACACGAAGAAGACCAACATCCTCACCGCTGGACCAATAGGGGAGGTCATCAGTGGAGAAGAGAGTGCAGTTGTCATTGATCCACAGTCCATGCTCAGGGAAGCTGCAGCCAAGAGATCAAAAGAGCTGTATTAAGTCAGTCTCTGTACATGATCTCTGTAGAGTATTTGAAAGCAAGGGAGCTCATCAGTTTCCAACATGGTGTCCTCATCACTCTGACTGAACGTGCCCTGGTGCGCATGGACCAACACCCAAAGCTCCGAGTTGTTTCCCCGCTGACCATGGCAGCAGATTTTGTCATGTCCATACTGGCTGGTGACCCCTTCCACACACACTGAAAAGATGGCCCCTAGGGTTTTTCCTAGGGAGATGGCGGACCCAGTGCCCCGCCTGTGCCCTGGTGTGTGGCCCCTCTTTCCTTCCTCGGTGGCTGATTCCTCTACCTGGGTTTGTCCCCACCACTTTCAGGGCCCCAAACTGCTTCCTAAATACCAGGTGAAGTCCTTTCTCACCCCGTGCTGCTCACTGGAGACCCCCGTGGACTTCCCCCTGTACAAGTCAGTGATGGCCGGGCTGATCGACCTGCTCGGGGCAAGACACTATTTCGCCTCAAAGGTGCTGACACCCTATGGCTACACCATCGGTAGGTTCAGAGGCAGGAGTCCCTGTGGCCACACTGTCAGGGCAGGGGTGGTTCTGGCTATACCATTGGTAGGTAAGGTGCCCTGTGTCTACGCCATAGGTGTGGCTGGGGTGGGTGGTGGTTGGTGCGGGAAAGGCACTATGCCTTTGACATTGGTAGTTTTGGGCCCTTGTGGCTACAACATTGGTAGGTTTTGGGGGGCAGGTGGGTACTATGACTAAACTGTTGGTAGCTTGGGGGGTTCTCCCGTCCATTCAGCACGAGTGGGCCCTTCTGGTCTGAGACTCCTGTGGCACGGGGTCGCCCAGATGTGACCATGTGTCTCCTGAAAGCAAGAGCTGCAGTGAGGCCCTTGGGCGTGGGGATCCAAGTTGGGGGCGAACAGTCAGGGAGCCCTGTCGTGCTGTGGGCAGCAGACCATCCCTGGGTGCTCACAGCGTGTGAGCATGCCGGCCTCAGAGACCCAGGGGGCAGGACAGAAGCAACCAGATTCTTCCCAGTGCTGCGGTGGGCTGCCTTCCGATCCCACAACCACCCCATGCATGACAAAACAAGACCCCGCCCTGTCCTGCACCATTGTCAGCCCATCTTGTCCAAAGCACACGGGACAGTCTCTCCATCCTTGCTCCTGGGGAGCACTGTGCCAGCAGCCTGAGTCAAGTGCACCGGTTCACCGGCTCTCTGCTGCTCACATCCAGCCTGCACTGCACACGAGGCGACTGAACACACCACAGCTCGAGTCGGCCCCTCAGTCCTCAAAGTGACACCGGCCTCTGACTCTGAAAGTCCGTGTGCAGCACAGTTACCCAGCGCAGCACACCACACGGCCTTTGGTTCCTTGCCTGCTGCTCCCGAAGCATTGATTGTGGACCATTTATTCACCCTCCCTCAAGCATTTGTGAGATCCGGGCCTCCTCTCTGCTGGGTTGTAACTGAACACTAGTCTGGATCCCTTGTGAGACCCGGGTCTCCTCCTGTGAGTTGCAACTGGACACTGTTATCTGAATCCCTTGTGAGACCTGATTCTCCTCTCTGTTGAGTTGTAACTGGACACTGTAGTCTGGATCCCTTGTGAGACCTGATTCTCCTCTCTGTTGAGT